ACTTTGTTTCCTTCAATCCATTTTCCATCTCATCCATATCTAGATCATCCCAGTATGCAGAATCTTTATTCTTGAAGTCATTATATTCGTCGATAAGGTTCTCTGCTTCATATTGGGTGTCAATTCGATGGGCTGAGATTTTGTCCAAAGATTGAGAGGTAACCAAAGAAGTTTGGTACCAATGAAGAAGAAGTGAGAATTGATCCAAAAACATCTGAAGTTCTGCTTGAGCAATGGGGTTGAAGACATGACCCTGAGTCATAATGTCACAAGCCCATCAAAAGTTCTTAAGAGGAATATCACCTCGAAGAACATTGAAGGGCAAGTAAGAAAAGGCTGCTAGCAGAAGTTGAGCTTGATATTGCTCAAATATAGTGGGGAGAGCTGGAGGTTGGTAGGAAGGAAGAAACTGATTCTCAAATAGAGTAAGTCTCAGTTCTTTCATCCAATGAGGGTTTTGAGGAAGAGGAGGCACAGGAGGATCCATCCCAAAGGAAGAAGGGAACTGGGGGTTATTTACACATTCAAGCCAGTCAGAAGAATAAAATTTTGCCCTCTGTGCTAAGAATGATGGGTTGTATCCTTGTGCTTCCTCTAGACGAGGAGTGACTCGCACTATCTTCGTAGGCGTGGAAGATGTGTACCATGCTATAAGTAAGTTGTCTTCCAAACTGCATTGGCGATCGATGGGTACATAAGGGTAAACCACCGAGCTCTGAGCAAAGAGAGGGAAAGACAGAGGATCAGTGAATTTGACAAATCGATGGTTAATTCGCTCTCTTAGCTTGGATTCATCAAGTTCTGGCCAACTTCTCCAGCCAGAAGCTTTAGAAGAAGAAGAGAAAGCCGCAGCCTCATCCCACGCAAAAGATTTTATGACAGAAGAAGAGCTTCTAATATCCATTTTTGCAAAGTCTTGGACTAAAGAATTGTGAACAATAGATTCTTGATCCAAAGGTCGATGATTTGCAAAAGCTTCCATGACTTGAATAAATGGAGATGGATAGGTGTGGCTAATAAATGCATGAAAATTCTTTCGAGGGCGAACATCATTAGCTAATAACTCTTTGTATGCTTGATCTATGTCAGAGAAGGTTTGTTTGGCCATGCGAACTGTATTAGTCTTTTCGAATGCTCAGATAGTGGGAAATATTCAAGGTGTAAAAAAGAATTTAACGCAGTCGGTTGCAGTTCTAAGAAGATGCAAAACCCATGCATATCCTAGGATGTGGGTAAAGTGCTTTGATTCACTAATATCACCAAGTATTGGGTATATTAGTGTGGGGGGTAATGTTAGCTGTATAATTTGTATAAGCCAATCACAATTCAACACGTGGCATGAAAAGGGCAATTTGGGGAGTTAATACAAGTTGCCAACCATAGTTAGACACTTGTCAACCTATATTGGTAATAATGGGTCTGCGTAACACTAGAATGATCAAGAGATATAAGGTGTACGGTTACTCACAAGGTTCAAATTCAAAATCAGTAAGGAAACCTAATTGCAAATGTGGCGTAGTGGGGCTGAGTGTGAGACTCTTTCTTCACGGCGGGTTTTAGGTCGTTGGTAGATTTGTAGAGGCAATTGAGGAGCATCAAAACACCTTCAGGAGAGAGGTTTTGGATGATATTTTCGAGGTCTTAAATGGTGATCTGGTGGGTGTCTCTGTCGGAGAGCTTAGAGAGACAAGTGAGGATTCTTAACTTCAGCTCAACCATGAAGAGGAAGGTGATCTTGAAGGTTGGTTTTGGGTTTTTGAAGATCTTGAAGATTTGAGTACATGTGAACTCATTGTTGTTTGATTTTTTTGTTGATGAAGAATGAGAAGTTGTTTGATTTTTTTGTTGATGAAGAATCAGAAATAGGGGTGGGGGTGGGGGTGTGTGAAGATTGAATTTGGGAATATAAGTTCATTGTTGATGAAGATTGATTTTAAAGATTTAGGAGCTTATGAACTCATTGTTGATGAAGAAACCAGAGACAAATTCAATTTGAATTTGTTCAACTACCGTATTGCCGAAACCTTTTTCGGAGTCAATTTCGCATTCACTTGGAAAATGGTTTGAACAACCAAATATACGAAGTGAATCACCACCCAGCAAAGAACGCGTTTCCACCCGGACACACCTTAATCGGTGTTCAGAGTCTGTCCGAGCAAGAAATAATCTTCTCGTATAATCCTGTTGATCAAGTCCACGCTCCTCCAAACGTCGTTGTTTTACTTCCTGAAAACACAAATGTGAGCTAGCCGGCGGGTGTGTGCCGGATACCTCTCTGATGCCTAAGTCAGCAAAATAGACAAATAGACAAAAGCCC